CTAATCAGCAATCCATCGTATTCCATTTAAAGTTGATTTTCCTATTTTATTTTCCTCGATCAACCACGATACCAAAGGATTCTCGCTTGTAACTAGAAAATTCCACTGCCAGGTGCAATAACTCGGCGGATATCAGGGTCGTCCATCGGCATTCCGGCATTTCGTTGAGGAACGAAAGACGGTGGTCCCGTTTGGAAGCGCAACTTGGTTGCGGTCGGGATTCCAGTCGCGAGGGTGCGGGCTAAGGATATGATAGGATAGGATAGGACAGGGTCGGTACAGGGACGTGCGAGGAGTAGAGAAAGGTACGTGTCGCCGCGGGGAAGCTTACATGCATATCCTGAGGGAGGCCGCGCGGAGCGTAGCAGCGCGGCGTCAGGTTGGCACAAGGGTGGCAGAAGTTACGACGTCTCGACGACGCCACTTCCTAAGTCTGCTCCTTACGGCATTACCTTACCGTCTAACCCCGTATCCGTGGCTCTCTTGGTGCAAACCTATCCTCTTACCGTTCGCTACAGCCTCGACGATGCTAGTCGTGGCCCAGGTGTTGCTTTCCAGCCTGTTAAAGCTACTCCGCCGTTGCTGTCGCGCTTCCGGTAGGCCCGTGTCGTGCCTACGGGGCTTGCCACGAGCTAGACGACTTCTACGACTTCGAGCCGACTTACCGTGTAGAGCACCTGCACCGGGCCCTCGGTGAAACCGACGAACTTGATGCGCCTTCCGGGCTGACGCAAGTTTCCTGAAAGTTTTCCTTCGCCAACGGCGAAAGGGAGCCTGCCAAGGAGAAATTTTAACGCGGCCGGGAATATTAAATTTGTTTAACAAGCCTTTCGTACACCCCCCCTCGCGCTCGACGAGTCGGCTTCGGTTCGGTAACTTTCGGTGGTTCGTCCGACTCGCAAGGGAGGCAGGGGATCGCAAAGGCTGAAATTAAATTTCGTCTAATTAACGAGGACCGAAAGAAGGGAACTGGCATGGTGGCGATAACCTTTCCGTTATTGCCGTTCTGCAAATAGCCGCGGAACTCGGGTCGTAATTTTATCTCTTTTCGATTAAATAATACAACGACAAAGAAGATTGAAATAATAAATTCTTAAATTTGCTTCTTGAAACTCCGTCAAAACTTCCGTGCACGTTAGAATCGAAAGCCCTGAAACGAACGGAATCCAACATACATTATCCCGAACGAGGGAGCAATCAATCCGTTCGCCTAATTACCACTTGGAGCGCATCAATCCGTTCCCGATTCAAAGCATTCTTTCATTGGACTCGCGCATAAAGAAGGAAACGTCGCTAATCCGCCGGCACGACGGACAAAGCCGAGTCTGATCGAGCGACGAACGAAGATCGTACACCGGGATATCTTCATCCATATCAATTACTCCGCGATTAGATGGATGAAGATACGTATGCCGGGGCCCTCCAGGACGGCCAGGCCCGGACAGGACCCTCACGGCGAGCAGAGGTCCCTCGGTGATTGACAACGAGGCTGCCACAGCCAGGCCAGGCCTGATTCTTTGATTGAACGCTGTCACTGGCCCGATAAGAAACGGTCCGGCGAATATCTTAATGAGAGTCGCCCGTGGAGAATCGCGTTCACCGACCAACCGGCCCCGTCGCCGTTTCACGTGGCTAATTAACGTGGCCGGATCTATTTACACCGCAGGATATCGGTCTCCGTTGACGTGGCCAGACGGATCTCGAAGACGCTGCCAATTAACGTTGGACGATCGATCTTTCGCGTGTACCGCTCGCGCGCTCTTATCGTGCGCCTTTTTGTCCGGACGTAAGCGGAAAATCGAGGCCACCGATCGATCGGCAATTAAAGACGCTCGCGTGTTAATCGTTCGAGCGGCGATCGTGGCACCGACAGACGAATAGCGCCGGTTCTTGGTACGAGACACGTTTCTGAATGATGGAAACCGAGGGGCTAGCCCATGAATCGTGGATAGGATTAATGGTAGACGGTAGAAATGGCGGTGTTAATTAGAAATCGGTGTTGTTATTGTAAAAGTATTTACTTCCACGGTTACGTTTGACGAATGTTCGTTAATTAGTATTCACGGTATGTTTTGCGGTGATAAATAAGAGATTCCGTGGAAGCATCGATAGCCTTCTAATTCAACGTCGATAGGGTATGCGCGATCGAGATATCGGTATCGCAAAGGCCGGCTTTCCAGAGCGGGTCCCGGTCCTCGGGACAAGAGGAGGAACAAGGGAGTGAGAGTAACGTCGGTCGAAGGGAAGCGTGGAAGAGTTAAGGAGATGCGGTGCATGTAAGACGCGGCTGTTATCTTGTCGATCAAACAATTAACAATTCCAACCGGTAGAGGCGAAGCGGCAAGGAAGAAGGACCGGCACGCAGGAGGTGCACCTTGATCAAGGCCTCCTCCGCTCGGGAGATACCGGCACGAACAGATAGAAGGGACACAGAGGGCCCCGATCGGGAGCCTTAAAGTAGCAGGCCATCTCGTCGACGTCTCCTTTTCGCAGTGTTACCGTTAATTACCCATTAATTAGCCGTCCCTTAATTGCCAGTGACCGTGCATGGCCGCGTACTAGCTAAAGGATGAGGCAAAGAGGTTCTCTTCAAAGGCTAACGCAGATTCCTTGGATTTTAATTTCTACCATTTTATTCAAATTTTTTGAAGTAAGAGAAAGATACAATTTTTGACAATTCTTTTCGCAAAATAACTATCTACTAGCGAGTGTAACAAGTAGAAAAGGAGAATAATGATTGAAAGAAGGAGGTACGGCGAAGAATGGTCCCACGGTGGTGTAGATAGGCAGCCGCGGCCAGGCTCAAACGGCGAAAAGCGATCGCTTCATAAGTCAACGCCAATCAGGGAAACGTTGTGGTGGTGGTGGCGGTTGGGCGCCGCTTCGGCTCGCTGGATACCAGGAGACCCATGGAACAGGCCGAACACGTCCGGGGGCCGCGAATCGGGCGAACGCGGCGCAACAAGAAATATAGCACGGGCCGCTATTTCAGCCGCTAAAAGAGAACTGGCAGGACGCCCGGCCCGACGAAAGCGGGGTACAGAGGGGCCGGATATAATGGCACAAAGCTTCTTTGAATCTTAGAACCTCGCCGACCAGCGTTGCTCTTTCGCTATCGGCGATCTGCTGCATCGTATGCAAATTCTCCTCCTTATAAATACATCAGCCTCCGCGGATCTTTTAGCTGCCTCTCTTTCAGGCCAACCTCCTTTCTTACGCGCCCCCCTTTTCTCTCCACCTAACCCGCCTTACCATTGACAGTTGACTGGACCTCACTGGATCGCGTCCCATCGCCGACTGGAACGAATATTCGGATCCCCGATGCCAGAGATCAAACGCTACGCGATCAGGGAAGTAGCGTAAGAAGCGAATTAATATAAAAAAAAAATCACAATTTCAAGAACTATATCTAAGAATAATTGTCGGAATCAAGTACTTCCTCGTAAAAGTCACCCTTTCAGAAACCCTCATCGACACCCGCCACGATAAATCTTCCCCAACGACGCGTGTCCCTTTGCTCCTCGCAACGAGGACGCATGGAGATGAGGACCACCTCGAGGATCTCATCTGCGAGCGCGTTTCGATGGTGATTTAATGCAATGGCCCGCAGGTGTGTCGGCCAGGTATCACAAACAGCCCCCTGGACTGTCCACAATGGGAATCGAGCCTGTGACGAGGTGGCGTGCATTTTGATGGAGCCGATCGGCTCCTCGTTCATCCGGCCCTTCGACTGCTTCTCTGGCGGCGTGGTTGCACAATGAGACACGTATCATCCTTATCCTACTGGATCTTGTCACGGCGTCGGCGTACACTGAAGGCGTCGTGTCGATTATAACGATTTGTTCGCGCCGTCGGGGGCAGGCCTGATCGGCATGGCAAACGGGATCAGGCCGATGTTTCGCAGAAAAATTCACCCCCGAAATCGTGATTCTTGTCAGGCCATGACGATTTCGACGGATCGATCGTAATCGCGACTTCGACACCTACCGTTCGCTGATTGAATGGACAAGTAATTTGGTAATTTGCATATTTAATTTGAGAGTCATTATCCTCTTTGCGAATTTTCTAGGAAATGAAATCGTAGCTTATTTGATGTACTTTCTGATCGTTTTCGAGATACGAGAGCGTTTCGACAAAACGGAAGGGATGTCGAAACGCGGCGGATGATTAAAAAGAGACGTTGAAATCTCGGCAGCAGGTTGGCTTCTCCTTTTGCCACGGTTCCGCGGGACGAAATTAATTACCGCGGTACACGTCGACGGCCTCGTTGAACGCAGAAATTACGCGGGAACATTACGCCGCGTTACATTCACCGTATTTCCATATTTTTAATTCTGCCGGCGGACGTAACGAGAAAAATGTTACCTTCGCAATTATAGCGTAACAAATGGTTTGTTTGGTGGCTCGCACTGCCACGCGGCTCGTTATTTCGTACTTGGGAAACGCGAACGGTGGCCGAACAGAGGAGGAAAAAAAAAAGAGGGGCCAGAGAGAGGGACGCGCTAGAGCAATAATGCTGGCCTGGAAAAGCTGAAAAAGAGGGCCAGAAGGGCAGCCATTACTTCCGACGTTTCGCGTCCAAACGATCGCCATTTGTCTCCTCGTGGCCGGTGTTATGCAAAGAGCCCTCTGCCATTCGGTGACTCGCTCCGTGCTGCTAGTGAAAGTTATAAACAAACGGCGACCCTCCGTTTCTTTCCGCTCGTTCCCTGACATACCGCGAAAACAAGGTCAGTTCTCATCCTCCACGAATTTATGAACGTTTCAGGAATTTTTGTGCGTTGCTGAAAACTTGTGTTCCCTGGTACTAATATAAAATCATACTTAACATTTTGATGGTCTCAAATTTCAGGTATTCTTTTAGTACACTGTGAACGTTTATCTGAATATTAATATTGCTAAGCTGTTGGAAATTAAAGCCTCAAAATAAGATTGAAACATTGTGAGATTAAAAGTGCCGATAATTTAATTATTTAACAATTTATTTCTTTATTTTTCAGAAGGATCATCAGCTCGTACCTTTCGCTAGCTACTGTCCAGCGAAATACGAACGTGATCATATGGAAAGGCGGGTCAAGAGGTGACCAGATGAAGGCGAAGACAATGTACGCCCCTGGCGCTGCTGGACAAAGACATCACAACGCCCTGGACGTGAGTATCCTCGGCGAGGCATCCTCGGGATACCTTTGTCGATAGTAATTTATCGTCTCCGACGTGATTCGTAATCCAATATGACTCGTAATGCAAAATGAACGTAGCGGTACCTTCCGTAAGCAAACGCGTGTATTTTCTTAGATTCTTGATAAGAAAATGAACATTTTTCTTTCATTATCTGCAAATTAATCACTGATATTTTAACTCTTTACTCTAGTTAGTAAACAGTATTACGTTTCGAAGATTTCCCGATTGTTTTCGCGAAAGCAGTTGTTCTCTCGTTGTTCTTCACCAAGTGGACGTATAAAATGTGCGGGAACCGCAGTAGCGAGTCGAGTTACGTGGTAGACGATGGTCGATCCGGCGGCCATTAGCTGCGGGTAAACAGAGCCATACTTTATTCGAGGGGCGTCACTCTTTCTCCAACGCGGTTCCGTTCCTTTTTTCGCCCTGAATCTCGTAATGTTCCCTGTCAGAAATACGTTCGAGGTCGGAACGGCAACGCGGTGTTCGTTTTCGCGTTTGAACGTGGAAAAAACCCGCCGCTGCTTTTTCCACCCTATCATTCGTGAAGAAAAATATCTCTTCTTCCGTCGATCGAGTTTCTTCTTACCTTCCGTTCTTTTCTTGCGATCCAGTAATTTAAGCTCCATAGGTGTTGTTATCGAGAAGAGAACACTGATTTCGAGGAGAAACGAGAGGATATCTTACGCGATATATTAAGCGTTGGATTGTTTGAAAATTTCTTTACACTTTCCTCGAAACCGATTACCAAAAACAGCTTCTTAAAATCCGTTCGATCTTGGGCGCAATCGGCGAGGAGCGATGTAAAAATAATGTGACACGACGACGAGCAGAAACACGGATGAACGTGATCGCAATAAGAAGGCACCCTTTATTCGGCCATTATCCGTGCGTTCACCTTACCGGCAATTAACCTGTGAGCGTTACTTTGTCCGTCTCGTAAAATCCGTCTCCTCGCGTGCCAGAAGTTTCCGCGAAAGGGAAGACGCGGTCTGCATGTCGTCGATCGACAAGGTCGTTCCTTCGATCGACGCTTCTCGTCTGCCTTCCGAGCTGTTCGCGATGTCTCGCCGTCTGCGAAACTTCCGCTCCCGACGTACCTCCTCGTTTCCGTGCTGACTGCATCATCCGATGACGCTCGTTACTCGTGGAACAGCACACTTCTTTTTTTGATTAGAAAACGAAGGGCGAAGATGGTCCCGGGTAACCAGCATCTAAAGGGTTAATGTAATAAAAATAATTTAAAGGTAAAATAAAAATCGTACGAGGATTAACCGGTGATAAATTCTGTGCCGCGAGGCACGAACAACCCTGGAGCCGATTCGCGACGAGGAAATATAAAAAGCCGATTCCGCGGTCGAGCGGACGAGTTCTCCGGGTATCGAGGGAACCCGAAGGAGTATCCCGAGTCGATAAAAAAGAAAGACGCGTCGAAGCGGCGACTCGATGCGACGAAGACGAGAAGAAAGAAGAAGAAGAAGAAGAAGAAGAAGAAGAAGACCAGACCTCGGGGATAAGGAAGACACGGGGTGACGGGCTGAAGGGGGAGGTTCGTTAAATATACGAGTGTATTGAAATTCCGCCTGGAGACGGAGCGCGATGGGACCCGGTCGTTGTGGAAGGACAAGATCGCATGACGGCTCGAGGGCTTGGGAGCCTCCCGCTGTTTTGAATACGATCCTCCGTTCGTGAGTCCTGCCTCGTGTTCGTTGCAACGTGTGCAAGCGTACCTCTCGTACACACAACCGGCTCCGTTCTGCCCGCAGACGACAACGACCCGACGCGACTCTCCGCCACGCATACCGTCGTCCACTCTAATTTGAATGTAACAACGTTCCGTTCGCCCGCAATCCGATACCATCTACCAGTTTCCTCTTCTCTACCGCCTATGACCATCTTCCTTGGGAGTCCCGATCTCTTCGCCTTTCTCACCCTCTCTACCCTCTCTACGTCTTACCCTTTTGAGATCACGGGTACCCTTCTTAGCGTAGCCGTCGGCATACTGGACAAAGGGTGTTGTTATCGGATAGATGATTATCCTGGTTAGAGTATTGATATTCGAATTGGGTGATTGTTTATTGGAGGAAGTGTGCAGGTATATATGAAATATTAATATCAAAATATTTTTCGTACAATTACAAAATTACCAATGTCTACTTTAAATAGAAGGATATATCTGAATCGAACCGAACGGAGGCTACACGGAGTAATATCCGATTAGTCGTATAAATACGACAGGTAGGGAATGAAACGCGCGTCGATCGTGTCAAGGAGAATCGTTGGGTAGCGAGTAACATTGCACGAATTCAACGTAATTTTGCTTGCAGCGATTCATGTCACCCGTACAATCGATTCGACAGTCTTCGTTTCTCTCTTCGCATCCCCGGATCGTGCGAAAAAAGACGAGCGAACGATGAAAAGGGTGAAATGTCTCCCGCCAGCTCGATCGTTCATGACAATATTCGGTTACACATGGTCCCGTGTCGTTCGACAACGAACGTTGTTGTTTCCCGTTGCGATGGAAAATTACCTGCAGGCAGTTGTACGTCAACTGTCTCGTTCTTTTTCATTCGTGCCAAATCGAACGATCGGCCAGGTTCGATTGAACCGTGCGCGTGTTCTCAAAACGCTACTTTATACGAAAATTCTGTTCGCCTCTTATCGATGCTGGGTGAAAGGTTGAACGTCAAAATTTTGGGAAATTTCGTATCAATACTGCTATATTAGTCGTTCCCGGTTTCCTATTTCTACTCACGGCTGAAAAGGGATCAGAATTTCTAAATTTACCAACGCCAAGAATTTCTAAACTTCCTAGCACTAATAGAAGCGAAATTTAAGTTCTAAATTCCTAAGTACTCTAAATTTATCAGCACCAAGAGTTTCCAAATTTCCTGGTACTAATAGCGATTAAATTTAGATTTTAAATTACTAAAGTATCCTAAATCTACCGGCACTCAGGATTTCTCAATTTTCTAATATTAAACGCCGCATAACTGTGTTTCTATCAAATTAAATGACACGTATGTATCGTCGCTCTTTGAAGGTACGGTCAGCTGTCAGTTTGCGAACCACTGATCCGAACTCCGGCCCCCTTCGGCCAATAAATACAAAAATCCGAAAGGGCAACGAAACACGGATTGTTTACACGATCGAGCAGCCGGCGGTGTTTGGTTATATTACATGCAGAGTGCGCGATGACGGGGACGTGTCTCTGGATGATTGACGGACGACGGTGCACCATGTCGCATCGCAATGCAGGACGTCGGTCGGCTTCCCGGTAGCCGCATGACGCGAATCCGCAAGTCCTGCTGCGTTTGTGCGTGCCCAGAACGGGAGAAAGATCGTCCGGGGAGCAAATAGAAGAGGAGAAGAAGAAGGATCTCCGTGGCGATTGCGAATGCGTGGACGGGTACGGCAAACGTCGTCGCAAGGACGATCCCTTATCTTCGGTTGCCTTCTCTTCCACGAATCCCCCCGCTGCTTCGCGCCAAATTACTATAAATAGGCATTAATCGATGCTGTGAGAAAAACTACTGAACGTGATTCGAATATCTTTAGAATGTTGATTATAGGGAAAGAGGAACCGTGACCGTCGAGTCTACGACGATTCACTCAATTACAATTTTAATTATCACAAAATATTTCAAACCAAACCAACCGAACCGTCTCGTCAGTCGACGTAGAATTTTAATTTCCGCCCACCAAAGTCAAAAAAAAAATGAAAGTACGATCTCGTCGACGTTCACGAGCGACGCAACAATTGCCCCGATAAATCTATACCGACGATAGGAATCTTCCGGCCGGCTGGACCCCGTTAACAGGCTGAATGCAAACCGTGACATTTTCCTTTCCGCCGATGGAGAACGTCGACGTCTACCGTTAATTAGTTCCTGACAAGAGAGACAGAGAAACCCGTCGTCCTGTTACCCTTCACCTCTCCCTTCGTGTCTGGAATCGTTTTTTGTCGTTATAAAGTAACCGAACGTACGTACGTCAAGCGACGCGACTAGACAGGGTAGGAAAAGGCCGCCCCGGTCGATTGGTAAATTGGAAAAAAATACGTAATCCGGCCGACGGTCCGCGGACAGCCGAGGACAGGCTTCAGAAAATGAGTTTGCAAGCGTGTAACATCAAAGAAAAGTCCAGGTTCGGTTCGTATGTGCAATACGTTCGTTGGCGGAACGGAAACGTGTGCGACGGAACGACGGTGTCGATGGTTACCGTGTTCCGGCATCGGTGTCCGTTCTTTGTCTCGAGAAAATAATAATCATCACGTCCGTTCGACGATTCTTTGAGGCAGCCACGTGTTCGATCGGTAGGCAGATGCAAATTAAAATTTGGTATCGGTCCACCGATACCTCATCCCCGTCGATTGCATTACGACACTTGTGATTGGTTGTCACCCTGTCCCCTGTACAACCCTTTGTGTTGCTCTCCAGTTGAAATTCGTTTTAATCTTGAATACGTAGTTGTTTCATATTTTTTGTATATCCGAGATGTTCGTAGGTGATCTGTTATAAACTTAATGAGAATGAATCCAATTTTCACGGGATATCGTGAAAAAATAATGACGTTTCTTCTACTGGTCTTCTATTTATTCCTTTATTCCATCATTTGCGTCAATTTCTATAAAATAATTAAGGTCGCGCATTTCAGTCGATCAGATTACCCAATTCGATTGTCAAGTATCCATCGAAATAATATAATCTCGATGATCAGAATCGTGACTGAGACGTATAATTACCTGAGAGACATCCATGACATCTTTTGAAAGTTATTAAAAATCAAAGATAGCTGTATAGGAAATTGTCTTCCTGTTTCTAACGATTATCCCTGTCAGAATCTTCCATCTCATTTAAATTCTTAGACAAGTGTAAATGATTATCCACGAATATCTGTCCATAGGAAATTCTTATTTAGTGTCATACAGAATTTTAATACGTCAGATTTTATATCTTCAACAGCATCGAATG